TAAATGAGATATGAAGTGAAAAAAATATTTTTTCATTTTTCAAAAATTTAATTTAGAAAGTAAAAAATTTATCTCAAGTATTCATACAACCGCACTCGTTTCCGTTTTACATAAACGAATTTTCCAACATAAAGTGCTTTCCGACTAATATTTATTATATTTTACAAAAGCATGTATCATACTCGAATGAAATTGTACATACAATTTATTTTGATGCTGTATAATTACTTTTAAAAAATAACTAAAATATAACAAATATTTATCAATCTCTATTAAAATTTGATTATTTTACAATGCAATGTAGTTGTTTTTAATATTTTAATTAGATTGCTGTAACGAGTAGGACTGTCTGTTTTTTTACAAAAGATCAGATGTGAATGAAATAAAATTTTTTTTAACCATAATCTAATTTTGTACTTTTAATAATTAAAATAAATAGAAGTTTATTACTTTTACGTCTGAAAGTGCACATCTTTTGTCTGAAAAATTATCTCTTAAACATCGACAACATACCATCTTCATAAAATTTTTGACACAATGTTCTCTTCGTTTATTGTGTCAAATTCATTGAATAAAAGATGATGGCATCCTACACCAGAACATTTCTGCCCTTTACTTTAACCTATTTTCTTCATCACTTCAAGACATAACTTGATAATTACAACATAGACACTTTTTTTAGTTTATGTTTAGTTTCACTTCCCTTCCGAGAACTTTTCTCTTAAACATTTAATCTTATTTACAAAATAAGTTTCCAAAGATTCTGCACATTTAAAGAAGGGCGACTCTTTGGGATTGTAATAACGACAATTGTCAAATATCTTTGTCATATCACCTATAAACTCGCTAAGTTTCTTATAAGATCTATCGTTTATTCTAAGTTCGATGGTTTGAAGATCTGAAAGATAAAACATTTCACATTAGAGGCATTAAACAATGTAGTCATAAGAATGACTATTAATTTCATACACATGTACGAAACTTACCCATTGGTTCTTTGATGACTTTATAATAGTCTGGTGCTTCATTAGGGTCTACTGGTTCCATGAATGGCCAAGCACTTTTATGTAACTGAAAGTTTAAGTAGATTTTATAGTTTTGTAATTAATAATGTATGCAGCAATTTAGCTGGCCAAGAAGAGCCACGTTGTTTACACAACGTATTAAATTTCACCTCATCATTTAAAGTCTCACCTGTATTTGTTTTATCAATTTTTTTAGTAGTTCAAGGTCTTTCGCATTAAGATTTTTCATATTAGCGAAATTGACAGAAGAATTTCGCTGACAGTTAGGACACACATATTCATCGATATTGTCAGCTTCTGATTGAAGAATACCCACACATCTGCCGTGGAACCAATCCTGGCACTTGTCACAGCAAATATAAAATCTAAACATTCGAGAATTAAGTCAAATGGATTAGTTACGTAAAAAAGTTATAAATTCAATACGTGTAGAAGTGAGAAAAAATATCTTACTGAGATTCATCATAAGGTTGTTTGCATAGACAATATAATTCTTGAGTATCACGTGCGTGTCGACACTCGGTACAAACGAATTCTGACATAGTTTTACTCATTTCCTCGGTTATTTCCACGCAATCTCCGTGGAACCAATTGTTACACAGGTCACAGCCAACATAAAATCTGTATAACAAGTGTTTGAGCAATAAGTTATTCATTGCTGTTCCACAAAAAGTGACCCGTTTGTATACTGGTGCCCACTCATATTTCTTCGACCTCGAAAGAAGCTTCGATCAAAAAAAAAAAAAAAAAAAAAAAAACTTAATACTCACTTAGTTTCGTCGTAAGGCGTCCTGCAGAGACAATATAGTTTTTCCTTTTTGATTCTGGGAGTCCCAGACGAGCCCACAACTAGCGGGTGACCATGGCTCTTATGTTTCTTTGGTCTACTTTTGTTCGGCGAAGTGATTTGCTGTGCAGGTTGGGCATTCGCCTTACGCTTAGCACTGCCCACTTTAACCTCGTCCTGCTTGTGCCTCTCCGCTTTTGTTCTGTTAGCGATCTCGGCCGATAGGTCTTTCTGTAATTGTGGGTAGGCAAAAGAAATTGCGTTAAACCATCATCATGTTTAAGCAAAATGAACAGCTTGATGAATTAAAATCATATTAAAATCATAACATTACCTGAACATCGACTTGAAGATCTTTTTCAAGCATGGCTCTTCGCTTGAGTATATCTTTTTTCAAGAGTTCTTTATGCCTGAACAAAAGAACTTGCATTTTTGAGTGCATCTGTGCACTTTTGATCTTGTTGGCGCGATTGTTCTTGTCATCCACGTGTGACCTTGATTCAACAAGAAATAAATTAATTGAAGTACAGATGAAAAGTGAGTGGACAAAAATGCGTGATCTGTTTATTTACCTTGACACCACGTCGCGTGGTTCCGGCCTGGGTGGTGGTTTCCTCTTGGGCGTCTCGCCCATCCAACTTTTGTCATCTTTGTTGATGCTAGCGTTGTGAGCGGCAGCTGGTGTCGTCAACGGGGGCATAGGCCGTTTGCGAGCTGGAGGTCGAACAGCCGTGGGCGTGGCCGAGTTGGGAGTCTGGACGGTCATTATCGTGCCTTCCGAGCCCTTGCTCTGTTTTTCGTGATACCTTTGCAGCTGCAGCAGTTTTTCTTCCATTTCTGGATTAAGACTTTCGTGTTTCAGCGCGTACTTTATGCCTTTAAAATGGTGTGATGAATGAGACTCAGTTACGAGGTCCCGAATGATGATTTGTCGAAAGATCATGAAAGCTTAGTGATTTTTTTCTGAAAAATTTTAACTACTTACTTTGTTGAATGTATTCTGTAGTGACTTCGAATTTTTCAGGCGATTTTTTAGATTCCTTGGTCGCCAGAGCTGGCTGTTGTCCATTAGCAATGCTGCTTTTCTGAGACTCGTCTAGCGTCTTTGCAGCAGCTGCAGCTGCTGGTTGGGCTCCTCTTTGCACTTGTTGAACAAGAACTTTTGTCTTTTGAGGTGACTGAACGCTTTTTTCTGGTGATTCACTCTTTGGTTCTATTTTCACTTTGACCTCAGTCTTGACGTCTGTAAGAGTAAAGAAAAACTTAATAGCATCTCACGTACACAAAGGTGTGACTATAAAAAAAAACTCATGTCATTTCTTTTAACGTGACTTTAGTCATAACGCGGATATACTTATTAATAATTGAAACATTTCTAAATTACCCGCTGCATTGACAAGAGGAGTCGGAGTTGCCTCAGGTTCCTGCTTGATAATCGGTACCATGGAAGACTCCTGCTTAATCGGTGTCGCAGTTGGACTCTTCACCGTTTCTTTTTGTTTCTGCTGTTGCTCCTGTGGTTGTTGTTGCTGCTGTTCCTGCTGAGCTTGAGCCGCCGCAGCAGGTTGAACCGTTAAATAAATCTTTGTAGGTCCAAGAACACCTTGCCTGCCAGCAGCCTCCTGAGCTTTGACCAGCTGTTGCTTGACTTGCTGGTGCACCAGAGCCAGCTGGCTAGGCGTGAAGTTGCTTGACTGCAAGCCATGGAGCACTATGCGCGGACCCTCGGCTGTTTGGATGACCTGAGCGATAACCGTCTTCAACTCTGTTCCCGGTGGTTGGCCGACTAGCTGAGGAGGAACTTCTGGACTGCTCGGTGTTGTTGTAGCAGCTACTACCGGACTAGTCGTCGTTGTCGATACCGGAGACGGAGGTGTAGGGGTTGTGGCTTCAGTAGCAAGCGCGTTAGGCGTGCTGGGTGCACTGAGTGTGCTTGGCGAGCTTGCAGATGCATTAAATGTTCCAGACACAGGAGTTGGTGTATTTGTTATTGCATTGTTGGTTGTCGTTCCAGTGCTAGTTAACGCAGGCATCGATGGTGGAGTAGCTGGAGTTTGATGTTGAACTGTTGTCACTGCAAAATTTTACAAATGTGTGTCAGCGGAATTTTCTCAGACTTGCTCTGTGAAAGAGTCAACACCAACCTGTTTGAGTCTTAACTGGAGTAATGGCATTTTTTACAAGTATACCAGTATTACTTGGGTTTATCTGAACCAGATTTGCCGCGGTTGCATTACGCAATAAAACTTGCTGACCATTTATAGTAGCCAGTTGGGCTTTACCAGACGCTAATTGCTGTGCCAAAGCTGGATTGTTGACTACTATTTGATTCGTGGCAATCATCTGACCAGGAGAAAGAATCTATAATTTTAAATAATCACATCATCAATCACGTACGTACATGAATTTAAGAGTATTGTTACACATATAGAGTTAAGAGTGACAATTGATTCATTAATAAACGTATTGAAATTTTTACACGTTAATGAATACTTCATGCACGTGAAAAATCTCTTCTAGAGTTATTAGTATCATATTTCTGAAGGAAAAAACAAAGATAACTCACTTGCGTGCCCTGTACGAGCTGGCCAGTATTAGCAATGACGAATGTATTTTTGGGAGCTACGGGAGTCGTGACGATCCCGCCAGAGTTGACAATAGCAGCTTTAACCTTTTGCCCCGCTGGCATGACTTGCTGCAACTGCACAGCAGTTGGTTTGAGCTTCATCTGATCCAACTGTTGGTTCGTCGTTTTCATTGGAGTCACCATTTTCGTCACAGTTGTCGGTGTCGTCGAGGTTGCTGCCTTGATAATATTCGCCACAATCTTAGGATTCGTTGTTTTCACAATTGTTGGAGTAGCCGGGCCGCTACTGACCGGCGTATTTACAGCGGCTACCGCTTGCTGCGGGCTTGGGCTCGGTGAGACTGTCTGACTGGTATTGAGGACGTGCAATTTGCCATCCGGCATTTGAACCAGCTGCTGGCCAGGCATGAGACCCCGAACTTGCAGTTTGCCGTCCGGACCTCGCAATATTTGAACTTTTTGTGGAGCAGCTGGGACAGGCGTACTCGGAGTCGCAGTGGCTTTTGCAAGCATCGGGTGATTGGGCGTTTGTCCTTGCTGGTTAGTTTTCGGCAGTATGCTTGTCGGTCCCGTAATTACTCTAGTTGTTCCGTCCGCTGCTGCGAATTCAAAAATTGTGTAAAAAAAAAGCTCTAAAAACGTGACAGCAAGTAGACAATTCATTACCTTTGGTCATGTAAATTCGTCTAGTGCCGATAAACTTGTTTTGATTTGGTGTAGTCAAAATTGAAGTCAACTGAGTTTTACCTTGTGGTGTATTAGAATTCGTAGGCATGGCAACTTTGGTTACCAGTTTTACGGTACCTTCTGAAATACAAGCATTACATATTGGTTTACAACTAAACTATTCTCAGTACTCGTTATGACACAAAGTTAAGAAAATTAAACAATACCTTGATTAGAATTGGTAGTAACTTTCACAAGTTGAGAACCAGGGGTACCTGGATTTTTCAGATTTTCCAATGCTCGTTTCTGTTGATGAGCTGCTCGTTGTATTTTGAGTTGTTGCTCCATCTTTTCTTTGATTTCTTCTGCAGAGACTTTGCCACTGACAAGTTGATCTCCCGCAGCATTTTTATTACTGTTTAATATAACGGTCTGTGGTCCGGATCTACTCCTAGTAATAACTTGAGTATTAGCCTTTTCTACCCTAAAAACAAGAATGGACACACACACCAAGCACAGGGGTTAGTGTAAAATGGTGTTAGGATGGATGCAGATTTCTTTTAATGCAGTTAATTAAACAAATGCCAAATGAGTTTCCAGGTAGTGCAAGAATAAGGAGTGCGACAGTTTCACGGTGCAAGGGGTTTACCAAACGAAATTCATAACAAATATACTTTGTACCTTTCACCATATTGTTTTATCTCCCACAGTTCAAGTTTATCCTCATCAACCCACTCTTCTGACACTTGAGGTTCTGTACTTTGAGGCGATTCTGGTCGTTTTCTCTTGCGTAGGCCACTACGTATCGACGTTACTTCTACAATTGAGTAATACGTTATAATCAAAGTAATATAACAAAAAAAAAAATAATAAAATAAACGATTAATCAAACACTGTCAACTGACCTCTCACTTGTTTTGGCAATTCCAATGGAATGACGACTTTACGACGGAGGTATTGCGTCTTGTCCATAAACTGGCCAACGTGTCGGTGTTTTAATATTTCAAGGGACATGATTTCCGTGTCAGTGGTGATTTGATGTTTTCCATCATTCGACAAAGGCTTTGTGTTAACGTCGTCCCACCTTATACACGACCACATTATTCTTAGCTGAAGAGCTGCGGCTGCGAGAGATTTCAAGCCAACGGTTCGATACAACCAACAAGTCTTGAAAAGAGGCCTTGAACAGGGGTAAGGCCACACTGCCATATTTGCCTAAAGTCAAGAAATTATTTATAAACATATATAATTTGAGTGGTCACATTGGTGCGTGATTACTACAAACCTTCGCTATATGGTGGAATCCTTGAACAGGTTGTTTGCCACCGGCGCGCGCTAATTTCCTCAACTCGTGCTGAGGGAGAACCAATATACTGCGATGCTTGGTTTTCGTGCAGAATGTCGAGCACAGAGGGTATTTCACCGGCGTGCGCTTCTTTTTTCTGTCAGCTAGGGAAACAGTCACTTTTTTCAAGTACACTTTTCCTTCCGTCGAAATCGCAGAGTATATTTTTTCCGTGCCATCGGCGGTCAACTCTTTGGTCTGGATCGTCCTTTGCACGGTTCTACCTCTTCGATTCACGATTGTCATTGTTTTTGGTGACGTTCTGAATAAATTTTATATAAAGTCAATAATAAAGAAACTACAGTTAAAAATACAGTATCACTCTCGTAATTTACTTGAAAATTACAATTACCTTGATTTCACTTCAGACTTCACGTCTATCGAGTTGCAAGAAGTAGTGGTTTCTTGCAAATTCTGAACGACACCGTCGACACTCTTTATCGTTTGCGTGGTCGTTGTCACCGTGGTAGTTGTAATTACATTATTTGTGGTTACAACAACTTGATCACTTTTTACCTCATCATCGGTCTTTTCCTGAAAAATTTTTCAACATTATCAAGTGTCCAAATCGTCAATTCCTCCAGCTTGTAGTATTATTATACTGGTTAATGTAAACACTTACCACTGGTTCGGTTTTCATCTTTTTAGCACTGGGAGCATCACCACCGCCATCCTGGGATGTAATTGTTGCTTCGCTTTGGGCGGCGTCGCTTGGTTTTTCATCAGTGCTTGCCGAATCCGCTTCTTTTTTGACTATATTTTCTTTGCCATCCTTAGCTGTTTCTGTTTTGACAGTAGCTATTTGTCCCATTGGCATAGGTCCCGTCACGGTAACGTTTTGTTGGCTACCCAATTCATTGACCTTCCTCAACAGCATCAAAAGATCGCGCCTGAGCTTAATCTTCTTCAGACAGAGCGGTGAATAGCAGTTGACGGCGATATTTTGCAGGGAGTTTTTGTTCAGCAAGCTCTTATTTGCCGAATTGCAGTACCGTGAGTAGCAAATCGGGTTCTTATCGAGTAACCGAGTCAGATTGAAGTATTGCACTTTGATCTGTTGCAGGCGCTGCTTCATGGCCGCGCTGATCAGGTTCTTCACTGCCGGAGTGACGATTTTGTTGGGCGTTTGCTTGTTGTCCGACAAGATGTTTTGCAAATTTGCATCACCGGCTGGACCTCCGATTGAGTCGGTGGTGATCCCTTTTGACTCATCAATGGCTTTTTGGCTGGCTTGCTCTTTGAGTTTCTCAGACTGGGACAACAGTCGTCGTTCTTCCAATGTTTTCAAGTGCGTGCGTCTAGCGAGGAAGTCGTCGATTCGTGTTTTTTTAGCAATTTTAGGATAAAACACTCGGCCAGGTGTCGTCAAGATTTTTGTTACGTCGATCTCTTCGAAAGACGTCACTGGCTTGAGAACCTTTTGGATCTTGATACCTGACAAAACTGAAATTTTTTTAGGTATTACACCGACTGCTGTAATAACAAACTATGTGTTTATACTGTGCGCGTGAAACTTATGTAGTGCTATTATTTGTGTTTATTGTTTTAAATATGAGAAAAATTGATTTTTTTTTGTATTAAGCTAAATTGATTGATTACAATTACCCTCACCTGGTAAGTTTACTCTAGTTGCGGGGGACTCTTCCTTGATCTCCGATTTTTCGTTACTTATTTCCGGCTTGACGTCCTTGCCTTCACTCACCTTGTTATCTTCACTTTCATTTTCCTGCTTAGTCGATTCATTTTTCTTTTCAACCTCGGAATCTTCCGACTTAACTTCCTGCTTAATTGTGTCACAGCTATCGATGTTTTCGGACGAACTAAACTCTTTGATTAAGTACTCGTAGGTAGGCGGATCAACCGTCAAAATCTTCAAGTTACCCTGATCGCGTACTTGGACCATGATCTTCTGTGGCCCCGTGCGCAGACCCATTTTAGTAGAGTCTTGAAGCTTGTACCTCCGACTAGCCGAGATCCAGAGCCAGCCCCACTGACCATGCACACGGTATTCTTCACCTTTTTGTTTGTAGATCTGGTGACGCAAGCCCAGAGTATACTTAACAAAGTTATACGTCAATCGGTTGCGCTCTTCCTCGTCCTCCTTTTCCTTTTTCTCCTTCTTGTCGAGGCGCTTCTTTTCCTCGCGCTCTAAAGCAGTAACGCGCTGCAGTTTTACGTGGCCGAGCTGCTCGTGCCAGACGCTTGCAAAGACAACCGACTTTATGCAAGCTTGCAGGGCGATGAGCGCGCGCGCAAAATCTCGCGGATTGAGGCAACCACTGACGGCAGTTGTCCACGGCTTGCGCAGTACCGGCCAATTCGTGTGCATAAACGGTGCCTGGATGCTGCTCTCGAGCTGCAGGAGAGTTTGACGCAGAGTCTGGATCAGAAGGGCCTTGGATCCCGTGAGGCTACCGATCCACTTGAAGTCCACGCTTTGGCTGAGGGCAAACTTGTGCGACAAATGGCGCTTCTTGTCGCGCTCCTCGTTGCGCTGTGCCTTATTGAGCGCTATCGGGTTCGTTGTGAATTGATTAATGTACGACTTGAAAGTGTTGTCCATGCCGAGTTTGTACAGATGCATGCCCGTCGCGATTTGCAACGACTTCTGACGCGTTAGACGGGCGTTCTCGGACTCTTCCTTGAGGGTTTTTTCGCTTTTCTCCGAGTCCTCCTTCAGCATGATGCCGGCTTCCTTCTTTTTTACTATCTCACTAGCGTTCGACGTTCTAGGTGTCAATGCTCCGGTTTTCGATCTGGTCACGATGTTATTCTTCTTACCATCGACACCCTCCGTCAGCTCATCGGTTTCCATACTTTCGCCCTCAACCTTACTCTTGTTACCGTTTTCTTCGTTCACACTTGCATTTTCTCCGTCAATAGCTTCATCCGATTTTTGCTCTTCGTTGGGCTCTTGGCTTGTGCTTTCCATCTGAGCAGATGTCGCAAACGGCTGCTCCGTCGACTCTGAATCTTCGTGCATTTTGCGAACCATTTCCTTGGCGTCTTGTTTTTCTTTTTCCTTTCTTTCTTCCTCTTCTTTCTCTAATTTCTCTTGACGCTCTTTCTGCATCTTCAAAATGATACCTGGATAATACAAAGTATTCAAATTAATGATTAATGAAACTGTGTTATAAGATTATTTGCATGTAAATGATAAAAAACAAAACACGCACTGTTCTCCACCTCCAAGTAGGATTTTTTGTTGCCTTTATACTGATTCGTGATGGTGACAGTAATCTCCATTTGACGGACGATTTCATCCTTATAATCAGACAATTCTCTGAACAAGGCTACTTCCATGTCATTTTGATCCAACGAGTCCATTAGTTCTTCCAGTTGTGAGGGCATACTGTAGTACCATATTTCTCCATCCTCGCTTTCACTGGAAAAATCAATAAAATAATTCATGATTATCGAGAGACACACGAAAAATTCGGGATATGTGTTCATAGATGTGGATGCATACATGAAAACCCTTCTGACGAGAAACCAGTACTTTCGTCCGTGTCTGTCGAAGCCTAGGTGTTCTTGCCTACACAGCAGACCGTTTTTTTCAACATCCGGCAAACAGTCCATAACGCCAGTTATTTTGTGAGCTTTACATATATTACATTGCCAATCTTCTGGCGGTACATCGCGAAGCGGCGGATCAACACACTCCAAGTGAAAAACTGCTGGACACGTCTCACAGCACAACAAGTCGCCTAATCGATGACAGACTCTACAATGGTCATCGTAATCTTTGGCTCCTGTAACGACAATGGCGTATCGGATTATTTAGAGAAGTTAAAGTATGCTCTTAATTCAAAAGTACATATTTTGCACAATAAATCACTCGATGCTGCTTCTACAACGTCAAAAACGCTATGAATGAAATAATTAACAAACCAACAGAAAAAGAAGGGATAGTAATTGCTGATTAATGGTTCAAGAGGTAGTTACTGTTTTGATTAAAATAATCACAAATGATTCAAACAGATTAAGGATTCTGATGCAAATGCGCGTTACGTTACATCATACTCATCTAAACCCGAGCGTTTAGATAGTACATAAGAGTGAAATAAAACGAACACACGTACCTTCGTGGAGAAGATCCTCCCTCACAGGGTTGGTTATCAGGAACTGTCCAGTCAAGAACTGCAAAATTTTGAGCCTGTCCTCGATAGGAACGAACGGGTAATCGTTGTTGGATAGGATGCCCAAAATGCTTTGGTCAAAGCTCTTGTCGCTTTCGACGTAAGAGCGGAGGGCCTCGGGCCAAGTGAGATTGTCCACAAAGTACAAACTTATGTTCACCGAGTCTTTCTGGTCGAGGGGCCCAAAGTGCGTCTGCTGGGAGTCCTCCTCGCGCAGCAGAGCCTTGATCAAAGTTATGTGGATCTCGTTTAGGAGATTACTCTGGTCCTCGCAGACCATGGCTGCGCAAAAGTCCTCAAACCTAAAGGGCGACAGCCTGAGTAGGTTGCGAAAGTGCCGGAGCACCTCGTAGATCGACAGGCACGGCATCACCAGGTCACGAGTCACGAGCAGATCGTCGGAGGAGCGCGGCAACTCGAGCTGCGGGATCTCGCGGTTCTGCAGCCAGAGAGGCTCTGGACTAGGGGCTCGCTGCTGACCGAGAAGCGCTCGTCTGGGCGTCCCACTGGCCGTACTAAAGCTCGAAAGCGAGAAGTCGCTGTCGCTCGAGGGATCGGGCTCCTCAAGGCTCTCCGAGGACTCATCTTCACTCTGCATCAACAAGTCGTCGTCGTCGTTGCTCTTCTCGTCCGACTCGTCGCCAAAGTCCGAGCCATAGTGGTACTCGGAGTCGTGGTAGTCCAAGCTCGTGTTGTAGCCTCGACGACCGTAACCCGATCCACCCTTCTTCCTGCCACCTCCTCCGCTCGGCGTAGCCGCTGCTCTCGACGCTGACGCACTGCTGGAGGCCACGGCTGCCGGAGTACCGATCTTGGAGCGCCGGCTGCGTGTGCTACGTCTCGTCCCAAGTACCGGCGTCTCTTCTGTTGGTTCCAGTGGAGTGCCCGGTCTTGAAACTGTCGGCGTGCTAGGCTGCGAGCCCACCCGGCTCTCGGAGTCAGCGCGCTGCAGCTGCTGTTGTTGCAGGTACTTGGGCTTCTTCATCAAGTGATACTGGAACTTCTTGGGGCGTTCCATGACGACTGTTTTGGGTGGGCGGCCCCGGCGTTTGCTGACCCCCCGGCCCCCCGACATCTTCGGGTCAGGTTGCTCTTCTGCCGCCAACGCCGCCGCCACCGAGGCTCTTCTGGCCCTGTCGACATAACGGGGCTCGGTTACCGCGGGCATGGACTTTCTCGCGCGGGCTCCTCGCCCGCGCGCGCGTTGCGCGGACATAGCACCAGCACCACCCGCGCGCCACCCCCGGGGGCTAGAATGTTAGGTATGTGTCCGTGTGTAAACAACAACAATAACAACGCTCCTCTGCTGACGACTCCTTCCCTTCTCTCTCTGCCCCCCCGGTAACTTTTGTTGCTCCGTCTCGCTTGCTCGGCACGTGGCGCGCTCTTGTCAACACACAGTGCCTGCAATTCCTGCACCCCCGCGTACTATCACCGCGCACCGATATCATACACACGAAACACACGCACTTAACTGTCAGTGTACAACTGTGACGACAACGAGGGCACACACACGGACGAGGGGGCCTGATGCATCCATGCAGCAGCCGTTCACGTTATACGTTGTTGGTGATGCGCCATGTCTGCCGCAAGCATAAGCGCGCGTTCGTGCAGTTGCGCGTGTGTCGGTGAGTATTGGCTAGCTGTAATGTACTGTATATTTGTGTGGCAATGAGTCGAAAAAAAAAATATATATATATACATATACGTATTGAAAATCCACTAGGTGTAGATGTGTGTTGTAGAGGTGATGGTGAGAGAGTGCGGGCGCTAGGAAAAGAGCAGCAGGGTCCCCCCCGAGTCACGTGGTCGTCGGCTGGGGCCTGGGTGATGGTTATTCTTCCCGCCGCGGGCCACTCGAGTCCGCCGCAACAGCTGAGTTGTACTTGTAGATACACTGGAGATGCGCTCGGCTCGGGGCGCGCGAGCAAGTACTGTAGAGACGAAGAGAGAAATAGCGCGCGCGCGCACAAATGATCATCGCGTAAGCGCGACAGAGACGCACGACGACGACGTTGTTGTTTCTCCTTCGCTGATTGTGTGTGTATGCGTGTGTGTAAGAGCTCAGCACGATTTGAGGCACCTAGAGGGCTCAACCTCGTACTCTTTTTGTGCGACAAACGGTCCCGGCCAACAGGTCGCCTCGAGGGGCAAGCGGACCGTCCGCGGATTTCCTGGGCCCTCTATCTCTCTCTTTGTCCTCACCAAGAGAGAGAGAGACCTCGACCAATGGCGAGGCTCGTTGTTGTGGGGAGCTTGTCGAGGTCTGCCGGGTATGGCGCTGGGGTCGCAGCGATGCTCCGAAATGAAAAAAAAAAAAAAAAAAAAAAAAAGGTGGATCTGCAAAGATTTGCAATTCGCGAAAAACGTACAGATAACCGGTCCTCGTGGTGGAACTGCTCTTTCGAGTCCCAAAGGCCCTGAAATTATTTATAAACGGCCCCCAACTCGGTCAAAACGATTCTGACGCAAGCTATGCACAACGCACGGGATTGTAACTGCACACACACACACACACTCGTCCTAACCTTATTATTGCAAGATGCTTGCGTTGCTTGTTCTCTTTCTTTTTCTCTGCTTGATGTTTTTTCTCTTCTCTCGCAATTGTGTGTATATATTAGCCAACAGGGGTCGAGGGGCACCAACAACCACACACGGCACCTGCGCACTTCTACTTGCCCAGCTTTGTTTGCGTGTGTTGTTGCACTCTACAAGATATCTATTCTACCCTTCTTCTTCGCTGGTATATAGCTGCCCTCGCGCGACAAGCATCGAGGGGATGAATGTCCGGCTCGGTTGCTCACTTGCGCGTCGAGTTGATCGAGGTACCCTATCCCTTCTCTCCAAAAGGGCCGTTGCGTTGACGTCTTCGCCGAGGTCGGAGATCACAGAGTACCGGCAGCTTTCCCAGCGCTCGGCTGGCTGGACTGCCTGTATTACCAGCGGCTACACTTGCACTTGCCCGTCGACGAGCTGCAAAACGGATTAACGGAGCGCGATATGTATAGTACAGTTTTTTTTTTCCACATACGCAGTAAACGCAGCTACGCGCACTTCTCCTTGTCTCTCTCATTCAATGATGCCCATGATCAGCGCCATCTGTAGCTCGGTAAGATAATTGTTGGAGTTTGTTGCGCGCGGGGCTGGGAAAGCTGGACAACAGGTGTAAAAAATGTGGATACGTCAAAAATGCTGGGCGATACATAAGTATGTAGCCATACAGACTCAAACACCCGAATGAAGTTTGTAGTTACGGTGTGTGAAAATTACACGGAATCAGAATCACATATTCACATGGTAGGTAACAGAAACGGCAGCGCCACTAGCGGAAGTTCTACTACCCGCGGACGCTCATTTTATTCGCGTATTTATCTGCAGCGATATATCTCGACTGATGTAATGCGGCCGCCAACAGCTGATCAAAGGACTGGGAAGATATGCAGTTCAAATTTTAACGTTTGCTGGGACAAATTCGACATTCATCGCCAGCTCGGCTCATGCAGAGGAATAGCGCGTGGGTATGCGTGTCGTTTGATTGTTGGGTATGTTGGGAAGCGTCGCCATATTTTCGAAGGAAATTCAATTACCATATCCACCACCTGATGTAAAACCATTTTTTTTTTTTTTTTTTTTTTTTTTTTTTAATTGTTATTTTAGCTTGCACAGACAGTACGGTAAAGGGTTCGTGTGCAGTGAGCCCAAAAAATTTGATCGAGTGCACGGGCCCAGCTTTTTAAAAACAATTCCCTCCTCCCCTCTCTCTTCAGCGCATGCTCCGAGACTGGGACTTGCGCGCGCAATCGTGGCGGGCCGTTTGAAATTCAAACTTTAAATGTAAACGATCGCGGAAGCGCGCCGCGCCTTTTGATTTGAATTTGAAAGCTCTCTGTTTGACAATCAGTCGGTCGGTAAATTTTTGTGTCGTGTGTGGGCGTGCGTGTATGACTAGGTACACAGGTACTCTTTGTAGACAAATGAGACAACGAGACAAGTGAAGCGCAACAGCAGCAGATTTGTAAAATACAAAAGTACATACAAATAGAGAGAGAAGGAGCTATACCTCTGTATACTGCACGCGTCGACGTCTCGACGAGAGGAATCTGAAAGAAAATATGGCCGCCTCTTGGTGAAAAAGCAGCAGTCCGAGGCCGCTCCGAGGACGACGAGTGTGAGGTTAGTTTCCAGTCAAGGAGGATGTACGCCCTGAAGCCAATCGTAGCCCTGCCCGAGCAAATACCTCTGCCGAAGGTGATGTACGAGCTGCCAAAGATCCACGGCGGAGAGGCGCGTGTCGACGAAGACCAATACAGCATGGACATCGAGGACGACTTTGGACGCCAGGTTACCCGCTTGCTTAAGATGTCCCGGGGTTCGGTGATCGGTGGAAGAGACGAGCCGGGGCTCCAAGGAGCTCGCACGCGGCGCTCCTGGGCCCCGATGCTCTGCAGGTCTTTTTCCTCCATAACGACTCGCGGCGCGGCTGGCACTCTCGAATACCGCGGTTACACTGATGGCCATGTCTAGTCGCGTAAGTATAAGCTTACTTGCAGTAGGTTGCACAAGCCGACAGGGTGATTTTTTTCCTTTACTTGATTATTGGGACAAGGGTGATGTTTGCTCCGCGCGTGCAATGTAACAACCGGTCGTTCGTTGGTTTGTTTGTTTCTTCTGCGTCGCAAGCCCACGTAGAGACGTAGACGACGAGGTGATATGCGCCGTCGCGACCGCGAGAACACTGCTCACTGACTGAGGCAAGGATGGTATCTCTCCTTGCTATTTTGCCCCCCCTGCTATGTTATGCGGGAATTAAGTATATTGAGTATACGAGAGATGTGCATAAAAACGTCACTATCACGAGCGAAACGGCGACTAGTGCACTGCTGTAAGTAAGTACATACCTAAGTGAGTTGTTTACTGGTTATTTTCCTTCCTTTCAACAATCTCTTTTGCGATATGTTGGAAATGGTGTGTATAATGTGCCAAAGACCACCTTCACCCAAACTAATGTGTTGCAAAGATGGGCTAGCCGCGTTGTTAATCACTGAGCCGTTCCTCCTGGTTTCTTTTCTCTACTGCATGTTGAAAAATCATCAAACACTAGCATTAGTTCTAGAAAACTCTACTGTCTGAACCTCTAACAGTGTTGTAAAATGTGAGATGCGAGATGATGAGAGATTATTTTTTTATTTATTTATTTATTTTTTTTTTTTTTTTTTTTTGTTGTATCAATGTCACAGAAACTTATACCAGAGTACGATTTTCTGGAAGCCAGACAAGCAAAAATTCTAAAGGAGGTTTTTGAATTGAAGTCCTACCTGGATCAGCTCACCATTGCTGTTCGTTTGAATGATTTTACGAGGCTGGAGCTAGAACCCTTAAAGATAGAGATTAAAACTGCATTTAAAAACAAGAAAGTCGAATGTCACCAGGTAAAAAGATTTTTATGATACTTGGTTCTGATGGTTTTGGTTTCTTTATTTTTTGTTTTTATTCTGGATGAATTTTTTCAGTCTCCAGTCAATGCAGAAATCATCGTTAATGCAAATCCAGCCAGTCCCCCCTACGTTGTATTAGCCCTTCAGAGGATCTGGACGGATACCAAGTTCAATGTGAAAGTTCATACGAATTCGTGTTACGGTGCAGTGGCGAGGAATTCAGCTTTCGAAGATAAATTGCTGACCACTGCCGGGGTCTATCCTTACCACAACATTGATGTAACACTCATATGGAAAAATGGTATGAAAATTCAGTTAATCTCATTGCTACTTTTCTTCTCTACGCATTACTGAAATATATCTGTTTTAGTTAAAGATACTCAACTCATCACCAGAGTATACGATTTTCCGTTCGAGGGTGAAGCAAATATCTTACGTTACCTCGCAAGATTAGTAGAAGAGTACAATTACGAGGAATTGCAGCCAGAAGTGTCAATATCCATTGACAATGTGTTAGATTTGTGCCTTCAATTGCCATATGATGATGCTAGACAGAAGAATGCCACAATAGTCAAGTTTGCCACCTATCTGGGAGAAAATCCGTGGCTTCTGAACTCATTATATCCTTCGATTGTTGATATAGCAGTATGGTCAGTACTTAAGCGTGAGTCCAACTACAAAATACCGAGTAAACTGGAAACGTGGTTTGACTTGTGCGAGGAAACATTTTTGTCTGGTTGACATGATCAACAATTGTATTTTGTACAGGTATTTAAATAAAATGTTAATCATTCTATTTAAACAATGGGTCTATTTTTTCTCAAGTGTAGAAGCGTAAGGAAAACAAAATATCGTATTTTATTATAAAGATTATATATTTCTAAACAAATCATGTATTACAATGAATCTATTTCCGATCTTTCTTACAATCGTTTATAAATAATAGAAAATTTGAACATAAAAATGTATTGGCAGTGTCACAGGAGCATTTAAGCTTCTATGAATAACAATGAGATATCTTGTCACAAAAACGCACGATACTTATGTTAATTTATTATAAATCCTACTTTGTAACCTAAATTACAATGTCTACTCATGCGAAGTGAATTGAGATGCGCATTACTAATATGTAAGTAGTATTGTCTTAAGAATAGAGTGTGTAAGAAGTTTATTATTTCATTATATGCTCGAGCAACAACACACTCAGTTCACTGAATGACTTGGTGACAATAAATATTACTCTTATGAGTAATTTTTATAAAACTATCACTCTTATTCGTCAATTTTTCTATTATAAGCTCTCAATGCAAGTGCTTTCTTTTGAAAGGCATCTAAAATCTTATTGAAGGTTCTTTAAACTACAATTGAGTCGTCAGCCTTTTCTTCTATACAATAATCTTCTCACTTACGTCACAATCATCAAATTATACACTCGTTACACATACAATAGCTATGTTTACGAAAGCTCTTCTGAAGATATGTATAACACTCACCAGTTAGTTATTAAAAATTCTAAAAAAAACTAACTTTTTACAGCTGATTAAGAATATTTTCAAAATCATAATGTACAAGGTTTCTCTTTTTTTTTTTGTTTAAGTAAACGTAATGTGTACAGAAATACTTATGATAAAGATACTTAAGTAAAATAAAGAGCTAAATGATAAGTAAGCTATATTACAATAAGTATGCAAAATTGCATAATTCAGACTTATTTCAAAGTGTAATTTCTAACATACGTAAACAGTCATACTCTTACATTTCTAATCTATCCAATACAGTGACATTTATCCTATTAATAAGTCTAATTACTTTTGAGAGACTTAAATATTATAATACTAATTGCAATTTTCAGGAGACTTTGACAAGTCACGTGTTTTGATTATCAATAAGGCAACTACTGCTTCATTCGTTCGTGTTTATGATATGAATAGTTTTTATATCGTATTCGTTAATGAATCGCAAAATTGGAGATGTTTGCTAGTCGCCTGAAAACGTATACTATATGTACAGGTTTGTACATACTTTATCAACTACCCTGTCATTAAAATAAAAAGTTTCAATTATGATTTATAACGATATGTGTATTGGAAGACAATCGTCCTCTCTCTAAATAAAAAGTCTTCTTTGCTACTTAAAAAAAAAAAAAATGTCAATCGCACACAAATTTATGAATCATCCAATTGATCTTCGAGCTATACGCTAATTAAACTCTTTCGTCAAAGATGGTCGTATAAAAAAGTGGTATCCAAAGTACGAAAAGCTTGTATGAAAATCCGTTAGAGTAAAAAATAATATTCAAAAAACTAAACAGCTCGACACATGCTTCGCACGGTAGCTTAAGTCACGGCGGACTCGTCCAAATGAATGTGAACAATGTATGTGCACGTAATTGAAAAAAAAAAAAAAAAAAAAATTATAAATACATTACACGTAAACATAATAACGATATATATCACAATGAGATTTCGCCGTAAGCTTGGGAATACGTGTGCGCTGCCAGCTTTTCGACGCGCAAAATACAAGCAGGCAGGTTCCGCTTATGTTTATTGCTCTTCCTTATAGTAACACAGTTAGAATCATCATGGGGTACTCAATTAATATCAGACGAAAGAGGAGAAGCCGGGAAGGGGCGCCCTCGACCTTGCCATGTTGTTCATTATAATCTGTCCGCCGTTCAAGCTCACCACTGCGCTACCCTCGGGCTCCGAGTCTGTGTACGAGGAGTAATTTCTCACCGGCTTCTGGCGCTTCCACGACTGCCTCAGCGAGTCGTTCACGTTGGCGTAGTGATTCACGAACGAGTGTGGATCCGACTGTACGCTCTCGTTCTCGCTCTCCGATACCTGCGAAAAAACACCGATTTTAATTTCATCTTGCCATCAATGCAAAAACTCGCACTTGAAAACAAGCTGTGTGCTTGATGTAATACCTGCGAGTCCGTAGAACTGATTTCTGAGGGTTTTTCCGTGACGCTGCTGTCATCGGGATTTTCGTCGTACTTGAGGCTCTCTTCGTCGCTGTGGTAGGCCACGGATGCTGGTGACGGTCGGGGCGGTGATTTCCCGTAAACCGCAGGTAAGGGTGGATGCATCGGTTTGCGGCTGAGGGTGCTCCGCTTGCCCAGGGTGCCGCAGCCGTTGGCCAGACTGGAGATACCACCTGAGCCGATACCCTGACGCGAACGGTACAACTCTAGGTCCGACTCCTGTCGGTCGTCTATGTCCATAGCCATTGACTCTTCGAGGACTTTCTGTACCTCCTCTGTTGGCGGATCGTCAATAGAATGAATCAATTTCATATCGTTCCTTTTGAGCAGAAGTACGGAAAAACTATAGACTTACGCTTGTACTTGTAACTCTTGCTCTTTACACAGAGCACTGCTATGACCATAATAATCACGACAACAGACGAAGCCGCCAAGGAGACCATGAACCAAGTTTTTCTGTAAAATGGTCGTTGTTGTAGATACGCGTACTCCATGTATAACTTCGAAGGTGTGAGAATCTGTTGAACAATCGTGTATGATTAAATGTGGTAAAAATTGAGAAATTTTATTGCAAAAAAAAAAAAAGAAATATTTTCAATACCGTCTCCGTGGAAAGAACAGGATAACTGATGCCATAGATATTGTAAGCAATCACTCTGAATACATAAGACGTTGATGGAAGTAAATTTTGATACGATATACTGCATTCCGACAGCAAGCCAGTACTTGTTCGAACTACAGTCTGCCATTGACTGTCATCTATAAGTAAAATAAAATGCATGTATTACTCTATAACCCACGTGTATTTCAACATTTGAAGCGTATTCCACATTAAGTGATAAATGAGATAAAGTTGCAAGCTGCCACTAGCTCAATAACATACGACACAATTGTAAGCTCAAGCTCTACAGCTGCAGTGTTTTACAAATAAAAATATTTCGAATCGATAATTTTCATAAGAATATTTGGCGGCACTGCAAATCACGTTAAATGCAAATTATATTTGTTTAGACTGCTAGCGATCCAATAAAATGAGTTGTTACAGGGGGATGAGGGATTTTCGATGTATTACATAGCAAGGCTGGGCAACACCTAATCTATACCTATTTTGTTATTTGCTCTAATAAGAAAAAAAAAAAAAAAAAAAAAAGTTCTTTACCAGCCCTGCTAAAAAAATGCCATGCGATCCAAAGATTGTAACATAACATGTCATTGTTGTTATACTTTTACGTTACAAATGACTCATGAACATTACAAACATTCACTGAATTAAATGACTAGATGCATGTACAGACAATCACTCTAGCATGTTCTCAAACTTACAATGCTGCCAATCTTCCCTTCCTGTGTCGTCAAATAAAACAATAATAACGTGATTATTCAACGGTCAAATAACTATAGGTGCCTTATCAAGACTGTTTAGCTGGTTTTTTACAGCCTTTACCACAGTTATAAAAAAACAAACAAAAATCGATTTTAAATTAAAATGTGTGTGTATAAACTCACCTTTATTCTGAGTTTCGATGTAATAACCCAAAATAGGACCTTTGCCCGTGGCCCCGTTGGTCCACTGCAAATCCACACCCGAGCTTGTCTTTGATAAAAGGAGATTACTCGGTGGTTGTGGCGAGCCCTCTTGTGGACCGGTCGTCACATTACCGGATATCGGCGGTCCTCGATCTATCGTTTCCGCTTGGACAATAAATGTGTAGGTCACTTCTTCCTCCAGTGATTGAACGAGCAAGTTTGTTTCGACAACTTTTTGCTTGACTTGTTTGCTGAAGCCTAAAGTATTTGTTTGCGAGTAATAAAAAAACAGGTCCAAGCTAACGTACAATGAATTGCGTTGCAAATAGCCACGACTTACGATCGTTGGGTACGGCCGTCTGGTAAGAAACAAAGTATCCGACGATCTCGCCGTTTCGCAGCTTGGGCGGATCCCACGATACTCGCAGGCTCGTCAGCGTGATATTACTGAATTGCAAATTCTGCGGTGGACCTGGTATGGCTTGCTTGGTCCTGACGGTAATAGGAAGAGAGCGTGGCCCGTCACCGGCTATATTGAAGGCCAAAACTTGCATCCGGTATTCCGTGTATTTATCGAGAAACACTAGACTGTGAGTGGAATTGGAGGCCGAGACGACTTCGATTTCTTCCTCTTGCTTATTTTCGAGCTCTTGGGGCGAGTCGGTCACCAAATAGAAAATCTGCAACACAATTTTTGACAGTTAAAGTTGAGTAAGTCTATGTAAACTTGGAAAAAAAAGGTTCTACCTTGTAACCCAGGAGTTCGCCGTTTTGCTTGTTTGCCTGAGGGGGCTTCCACTTGAGCTGAACCTCCGTGGAAGAGATCGGTTCCGCCGTGACCTCTTGAGGCTCGCCAGTTGGAATGGCCTCCCCAACGTACACTCTGACCAAAATACTTTTAGGACCCTCGCCTTCCGAATTAAACGGAACGACGGTGATGTCGTAATACTTGTCCTCGGTGAGATCGCTCAAAGTAATATTGGTGTTCTGCAACAAAAAGTGGGTAAACGTGTGTAAGTTGTGCACTTGCCGTTTTTACCGTTTCACTCGTACTTACGTTTATTCCTTTGACTTCTTCCTTCGGAGGTCCGGAAAGAGCAGAGGAGAAATCCGTGAGCTGATACAAAACTCGATACCCACCAGTCTGGTGGTCTCCGCTCCAGTAGGACTCGTCGATTTCATCCCAGTAAACCTCGATGCTTGTCCTCGTTGTAGGCACAACTTTGATTCCGGTCACTGCTTTTGACGGAGCTGCAAACAATTATCGGATGTCAGTACAAGCGTCTTCAATGCAATGACAAACTGTTACTGTTTTCCGAAGCAACATTTACCAGCTGGTAGCGTCTTCACTTGATCAGACTCGTCGCTTAGCTCCGAAGGGCCGATGTCGTTCGTTGCTTGGATTCTGAATCTGTACTCGGTGAATGGTTTCAAGTCCTTGGCGGTGTATGACGTAAGAGAGGGATCCACCCTTTCGGAGATGATTTTGAAGGGGAGAGAATTTTCCGACTGCAGCACGGTGTAGTACCTAAATTATGAGAAAATCGTTAAAGGGTACTGTGCTCATTCAAGGGTGAGATATCGCAAAATTTTTTTGTCATACCTGACGGGCGCAAAGCCATCGCGTCCCGGCGTCCAGCTAAAAGTTATCTGACGACTTTGCAACTGGGACTTGCTCACGAGGGGCTTCGACGGAGGCTGGGGCCGTTCCCTGTTGTTGGTCGTGAAAACCAAAGCATACGCCGTTTTACCCCAACCCAAGCGAGTTTGAGCCGTCACGGAAAACATGTAGTATTTTTCTTGCTCCAGGTTCGTAGCCCTGCGATGATGATTAAATTTAAATTTTCAAAAATAATGGTGACAGTAAAAAATATCATCAATCAACTCGTCCATCTTACGTGAAGGTTCTCGTAGTGGCGGAAAATTCTTTGCTGAATTGGTGACTTTGGCTGCTGTTCAGGTGGAACATGACCTTGAAAGCGAGAATTTCCCCGTTCGGATCTTCAGGAATGTCCCAAATGATTCGCGCCGTGTTGAAGCTAACGTCCGGCAACGACACGTTTGACGGTGGTCCAGGCACTGAACGAAAAAAACAAAAAGTCAAATACCAGGCACACGCAATAGATCCGCGCAAACTCACCATCTTCGAAGGTCTGTACGCGACAGGGTGGCATGCTCAGTACACCATCGCCGAGTCTCGTGTACGCCAACACCTGCACGTGATACTGAACGTACTTTCTCAATTCGGTCAATGTTGTGGTAAAGGTGGAGTTGTTGGGGATAATTTTATGCTGCGGCGGGGACGGATTGTTGATGGCCAGATAAAAGACCTTGTAGCCCTCGATCAATCCGTTTTGATGCTCGATCGGCACTTCTCCCCACTTGACGACGATTGTCGTCGAGGACGTCGCGTTAGTTTCAACGTTCACTGGCCCGTGGGACGGTACTGTGTGACGCGTTCCAACAATAAAATCCATCAAGTTGACGAAAAAAATGGTCCTCCTTTAGAAGATGAGCATTAAAAAACGAAACTTACCGGATTCGCGGGTTCTCTCGACAGCCTTGGGACTCAACGGGGAGGAGCCAACGTCATTGTACGCGCTCATGCGCACTTCGTACAACGCAAACTCTTCCACGTTCTCGAGGACGAACGAGTTAGCGGTGTGATCCTCGATGCTGATGCTCTTGGATCTATTGGTTCGGACTTCCGTGTAAGTGATGTTGTATCCGCGCGGGTTGCCGTACCACTCGATCTGCTGCAGGGGCTGTCGAGTGGGTAAATCATCGTTAGCTTTGTCGGGATTGTATATAGGTGTATTTTTGTATCGGGAGTACTCACGATCCAGCGAACCCGCAATTCCGTGGCGTTCATCGCTCGCACGGTGACGTTACGCGGCGGGTGGGAGGGCGGCGCTTGGATGGTCTGGAACTCCTTGGTGGGCTCGGACGGCGCAGAGGGACCCACAACGTTGTTGGCTATCAGCCGCAGTTTGTACTGCATGAAGGGTATGAGGCCCTCGACCGTGATTTTTCTCGCTTCCGGGTCGTGGATCTCGGATATCGTGTGCCACGTCATGTTCCGGGTGGTTTGCGCCTGAATCGATCCCGTTAAATCGTTTACCACCGAGTAATAAGGATAATGCGAGTTTGTATTGCCGCAAAACTCACCTGTACGGTCCACTTGGAAATCGAAGCGTTGCCGTTGAAGCCCGGGGTGAATTGAAGCACGATCGAAAAGGCATCGATGTTGGACAACGCCAGCTTGGTCGGGGGCTTGGGGAGCACTGGCTCGACACCAGACTGTATCGTAGCGATGCTCGACTCTCCAGGACCCTTGGACGTCCAAGCCAAGACTTCGAACGTGTAATGCGTCGTGGCCTGTGAACGCCCACATGTATTAGATTGGTGTATTGAAAGGAGGGGAAGGGAAACGTCGAGCGATCTCTGTGTATTGTACCTGTAGCCGTTCAATTTTCGTCGAGAGCACGTTGGCGGTAAAATTGAGCACTTTAATGGTCTCGGGCTTGTCTTTGATCATGTACTTTAGCTGATAAGAGGTGAGAATCCCGTTGAGCTCGCGAGGCACCTTCCATTTGACCGTCAGAGCGCGATCGCTGATATTAAGAAACTGTAGGTTCTCCACTTTACCGGGAACTGTAGGGATTATTTATGTAATAAACAGTACTCTGAACATCAAGAAAAAAATGAAAAGAGCAAAAAAAAAAAAAAAAAATTCTTACCGTCCTCGCTGGTGCGAACGGCTATGGGAGCACTCCTCTCACCGTCACCAGGACTGGTGAAGCAGAGCACGGTGATGTTGTAGAGGGTGTACTTTCTCAGATTCGATATGACGGCGTTCTGCTCGGCTTGGGGATCGTAGAGATTGGGCGCCACTGTCACGGACTTGTAAAGATTGTCCTCGGCGTAGCCACCGTTCCACCAAGCTTGGAGCTTGTAGCCCAAATTGAGACCGTTTATCTTCTGGGGATCGGGCGGCCTCCACCAAACTTTCACGGCCGTCGAGTTGAGCGCCTTCACTTGGACATCGGTCGGCGGGGCTTCGGGCACTGGATTTTGTTTTATATAACGATTAACTGTAAATATAATATGTTCCGGGCAAACAACGCTACGTATTTGTGTATAAGTACCTCCTTCCTTGGTCTTGATCTTGAGCTCGTGGGTAAAGACACCGACGCCCTCGTCGTTGTACGCGGCGATCTGCACAATGTAGTCCTTCCAGGTGATGAGGTCCTCGATCAGGTAATTCTTCTGGGTTTCCTTGGATATGTTCTTCAGTATGAGAGGCGTGTCGTTGTAGCCGTGGAGCTTGTAGCGTAGCACGTAGCCGCGTATGTGGCCGTTGCGGTGCTCCTCGGCCGGGGGCTGCCACTGGGTTATGATCTCGGACGAGGAGCGCGCCGAGCCCACAAAACCCAACGGTGGACCGGATGGCGCTGGGAGAAGGAAACTTTGTTACACACTCGTTCATTGAGCAAGTAGTATAATATTATGTATAAATATGGGCTTACGTTCTTGCGGCAGCACGACGACTTCGCTCGGCTCGGAACTTGGACCCTCGCCGACGCTGTTCTCCGCGCTCACGCGGAACTGGTAGGCAGACGCCGCTTTCAAGTTCTTGAACAGCGTCCAGCGATTGTTGGCCGATAAGTTGGAGTACTCCGTGACCCAGTTGAGCGTCAAATCGGGCAACGGACCTGTTACATCACATCACCCACATGTTTGTTGTTAAGTTTATCGTTGCAAGAGAAAAGATGGCCAGAAAAAAATATCCAAAAGAGAGGAGTAGTCACCGATTTCAGGGACCTCGCGCCTCTGCACGATGTACGACTTGATGGGGCTGTTGCCGTCGAAGCCGGGCACCCAGGTGACATTGATCGTTCTCCGTGATATGTCCTCGGAGCGTCGAGCCACGACTTTGATGGGCGCAAAGGGCAGCTCGATAACGGCGAGCCTGGCGGTTCTGGTCTCGTTGCCGCCCGGCGACACGACCGAGCACATGTAGTCCCCGGCGTCGCCCGCCCGCACGTGGTTTATCTTGAGCGTGCCGTCGTTCTGCTTCTGTACCCGCGAGCTAGTTTTCACAACTCTGCAACAGCCATACTTTTCATCAGTATATTCTTGGGCATTGCATGTACCCCTGGACTCTTTTACTCTCTCTCTCTCGCTCGCGCGCACTCACTTTTCTCGGGGAGCAAGAACCGAGACGATTTATGTACCGTGGATGATGCTTCTCGCTACGTTGAGGAAATAATCATCGATAATGAGTTCGGCGCGTGCTTTTCGATTTCACTTTCGAGATCACGCTTAAACTTCAAGGTGCATTCCGATAGATTTACAAAAGGAAATAGCGTTAAACTGTGCGCATGATGATTAATTAATGGTCGCACGTGCATGCCTGAAAAGTCCCGGGACCAGGCACCCTTGATGTTCACGAGTGGGAAAAAAGAGAAAAATGTAATACAAGTATACACTTGTACGCGTGCAAGGAGCGAGAGAAGTAGGGGAGTGACGTAAATTAGTAATATGCATGTCGGTGGACTCACTGGGAGTTGTGAAACCAGGCGACGTCGTAATTGACGCTCGGGTCGTTCGAAACCTCGCACTTGAGCTCTGCCGTCTGGCCGAGGAGAACCGATTGGTCCACCGGTGGCTGCACTATCTGCGTCCTCACTGTAAAAACGTTCGCATTGAAGGGCCAAAAAGCAAAGAGCAACTCCAAGTATGTGGCCACAGGCTTACCGAACACCGAGAGATAAGCCGATCCGTTGACCGAGCCGGCCTCGTTGGCTCGCACGCACGAGTACTTGCCGGCGTCGCTCGGCTTGACGTTGGCTATCACCAGGTCCCCGTTGTCCGACAGCTCGACTCTACCGGCTATCTCCACCGGCTGGGTATCTGCAAATTTGCCGTTTACCATTTTATCGTGTACCTCGTTCAGCAATGCCGTATACGTGACATGCACAACGACACACTCGAGCGGAAGCTTTGTACTGCCCAAATGGGCGCTCGGTGATGCATAATTGCATAACGCGTAAGGAGTCACCAGGGGGACGACTTTTTATTTTTGGTCATAAAAATTGATTTGATTTCAAAATAATGTTACATGAAAAATTGAAACGAATGACCATGTGGTGTATACACTCAATAGCCAAGTATGCATATGTATATTACCATTGTAGATCCAAGTGACATTCGGCACTGGTGCGGCTATCGCTCGGCAGTTCAGCGTCGCCACTCTGCCGTCCAGGACGGTCAAATTTTGCGGTCGCATTTCCCATATCGGTATCGATGCTGCAAATTGAAAACAATAACCCAATAACAATCACAATTCGCGTCTCAAGTGGCGTTTCGTACTCAAATGACAAAAAATCGTGCAGCAATATAAAAAAAAAAAACAAAAACAAAAAAGAATAACCCAATCATCAAGTAACCGTATATGCTACGATGTGTGTATACTTATTAAATTAATGTGAGAGATGTACTTGAAATTGTCTTTGCGCTCCATACACAAAAAAAAAAAAAAAAAAAGATAGCACACAATCATCATTTTGTACAATACATAATTATATCGGCGTGATTAACAAAAAAAACTGCAAGCTGCAGCAGCGTGAGAAGCCATTGAGGTGGCGCTTTTTACTGTGCTCTATATATTGTTTCTCTTTTCTGTGGTAAAAAAAAAAAATAAATAAATAAATAAATAAACACACATGAATGATACGCAGTGCCTTGGCCTGATGTATATTGTATATGATTCATGTACGAAACTTATGGTCGAAGTGTGTGCATATATAATAAAGGAGGCAGAACGAATCGTTTCACATTTACATCAATATTTAAGTTGTACAGGCAAAACGATGATCCAATTGCAACATCACGTTTTACCGGAACAATGTATAAGTACTCTCTAAAAGGATTTTAAATAAATACCTACAGACAAAAACATAGAATTACGATACGTTGCATTGCTAAAACACTCGTGCTTATTGTTATCAAGATCATAAAAAACAATAATAACAGTAATAATAATTTAATGCTACCAATAAAGACAATAGATGTGTGTGAGGGTGAACCAAGACAAAATATACAAGATGCTAGTAATCGTCATCACGGAGTGATGTTAAAAGACAAAAACTAAAGCGCAGCATGAAAAATAAAAATTTATGTGCCTGGAAGCAGGTGTGCCTACGTATGATGCGTAAATACTTGATTGTTGAATGCAAAACATTGATCACGTTGGTTGATCAAAACAACAACAAAAAAAAAAAAAAAAAAAAAAAAGAAAAAGAAAAAAAAACACTATTTTAAACTCTAAAACGACATGAATCGTGTCCCATTGTCGAACTAGTTGGTGATTAAGGAAAAGTAAAAACCAAAAAACAAACAAAATGCTGGTGGAAATAGGTGGGTTTAAATAGAGAGAGAGAGAGAGAGAGAGAGAAATAGTTCAAAACTAAAAGTGGAAAGAAAAAGAAAAAAGTTTTAAAAACGTGGGCAAAAGTAAGAGGACGACGTTTGGTGGTTTTGGCTCTTACGGTCTGGGTACTGAAAGAACTGAAAGCGACGATTATCCTGGCGCACTCCGACGATACCATAACCGACGGCTCGACGGGCCGTTCTCTTACCCACTGCTGATTCCAATTCTGCGCTCGCATGACAAAAAACATGTGGTCAGTCGTGGCACGGGTAAAATAAGTACACGGTACGAAAGTGTATGTATACGAATATTCTCAATACTATTAGATGAAGAAATGGCGAACAAAAAAAAAAAAAAAGGCCCGGCTTCGCGAAATCACCACGTTGCGGCATCGGCAATGGTATTAATAATATCATGTAACGAATGAGGTAAGGCCATTTTGGGCATACTCACTTTTGACCTTGAGCCAAGTGTAGCTGGACGCCTCGCCGGCCTCGTTGCTCGCCAGACACTGGAACATGCCCGGATCCTTCATCGTCAGCTTCTTTATGATCAGCGTACCGTTTGTCACGTCGTACCTGTGGTACAAGCAAATAAGCCACATTACAATTGGCCGAGCCTCGGTCATTCCTCTTTTCCGGCAACTCACCCCGATCCTTCGAGATCGTCGATGGACTGGGTGTTGCGGAACCACTGGATCCTCGGGGCGGGCACGCCCGCGGCCTCGCAGGTCAGCACCACCGTGGAGCCGTACTCGCTCGGCGTCACTCGTTTCAGTTTGGTCGGAAAGAATGGCTTTTCTACAAAGGCAACCGTATCACAGCATATCCAAACAAATGGTATGTATACACGACACAATCCGAGGGGCTATACGCTCTTCGGCAGAGTCTCTAAATGACTTTGTGGGTCTTAAACGTACACCAATACCCAATAACCCTCCGGTAGACTTTCAAAGGCTTTTGTGAACTTTTAAGACTCTCGTAGGCTTTGGATGACTCCAAACGACTCGGAAATCTCGCCGAGACTTTTACAGTCTTTAAACGACTTTGGGAGACGTTAAAATTGTCCACATAGTCTTGGATGACAAGCGCGTATAGCCCCTTGGCATGAGCGATAGGAAAAGGAATATATATATATGTATATATATAATGTTAACTAACCGAGCACGACGAGATCGGCGCTGGCGACGATGGTGGGGTACTCCCCGCGCGTGTGTATGACGCGACAGGCGTAAGTGCCGCTGTAGGTCGAGTTGTTCGGTATGAGGGTGAGGGTCCTGTTGTACGAGTCCTCCAGGTCGTAAGCTATTCTCGCGTCCTCGATCGGTACGTCGTCCTTCGTCCAGATGGTCTTGAGGTTCTCGAGGGGCCTTTGATGAGGTAGTTCGTAATTAACAATTCATTCACGGGACCACCAGGTCACAACTTGTGTATACACAAATATGGGAAAAATTTTATATGGATAGTCGAGGCGTTACCTGGCATTGGCGATACAGTGCAGACTGGCCTTCTGGTCCTTGGCGACCCTCGTGTCCTCCGGCTTGACGACAATCGTGGGTGGCACGTCGGCGCTCGGATCTCCGGTTACCTTGAGGTTGAACATCGGACCTTCCTCCTCTTTGCCGAGCACAGTGTTGATAGCTCGCGGCCTGTGCGGGACAGGGTGTTGTGTTTTTCTTTGTTACGACTCTTTTTTTTATGCTTTACTACGTTAACTAGGTATATAACGGTGCGCTGACACGATCTCGAGGTTTACATTGGCCCATTAGCAAACATTCACATTATCTCAACCGAGACTCGGAGTTTTTTAAGGATTTGCTTTTCAACGCTCAGTTGTTTTTTTTTTTTTTTTTTTCACGCGAAGATTCACTTGAAACTTTTTACGTGCACCCACAACATGCATTGGAGACGCAAATTTTTATTTTTCCCGTGCTTATCCCGAGGAACACGAGGATACATAGTCAAATTTTGTGATATTTTAAGCTTTTTTTTTTTATTTTAGCTTGTACAAAAAAAAATGTCCAACATCTCTTTGGACTTGACAAATTTTCGAGGGAAATCTTCCGAGGAATTGTCATCGTAAATACCCAAAATCATGATTCATTGGAGTACATACTAATGGAAAAACATTTATATTTTAATTGAATGAAAAACCTATGGGGGCTAAAAAAAAGTCCCATATACGTCCTATAGAGTTTGCACATGTACTTCAAAGCTCGTAAAAATATTTGTTAGCTAATGGACCAAATGAACGCAACGCTCAGTGTATACATATACCAATAATTAAAGCGCTGTACACGCATATACTCGTGTATGGAGCACCTTCAGCCAAAAATAGCTACAAAATACCACGACTGTGAATAAATAAATAAAAAAAAAAAAACAACATACGCATAGTAGCCCTCGTCGGCTTCACTGGCGCTCAGGATGAAGAGCTTGCGGTCTACCGCGACGTATTTGTCGGAGTGCAGGGGAAGGTCTTGGTTGGAGTACAACCAGGTGACCGCCGGTACTGGCAAGCTCTCGATTCGTGGCATCTCCAGGACGGCCGCACTGCCCGACGTCACCTCCACCGCGCGCTCGCTCAGGTCCGTGAAATTGTCCATGTCTGCAATAACGCAATAGTAAATTTTTTTGTTTTTTTTGTTTTTTTCACATTAAAAAGGATTATTTTGTTACAAACAACACAAGACATTTATTTGGATCAAAAGTAAATGCAAGTACTCACAAGCAACGGAGAACAAGGTCCTGTCGCTAAATATGGAGCCAACGTCGTTCGACACGACGCAAAAGTAGATGCCCGTGTCCTCCCGCCGACTGTCATTGATTCGATAAAACGAGCTCGAGGCAATGTCGGTCGGAAGTTGCTCGCCATCCTTGTACCACCTGTACTCCAGTTGATTACCTGTTGTGGGCAACCGTAAAATCGTAGACTTAAACGCAATGCACATATATTATACATATATTTATATTTAATGCTGTATATTTACAGGGTTGGACCACGAAATAGTATATTTTCGAGATCTAATGAAAAACACCATCACTTTCTTGCACAACGCAGAAAGAAGTAATAAACGATCCCTCGGCTTGGATGACAATTAAAACATGCGGTCCGAGACCTTACGTGTTAATATTAATAAATTTTTCACAATCCGCGGGGCATTATAATAATAATAATAATAATAATCTTAGATCTGCAATAGCTCAGAAAAATTTATTTTGAAAAACAATACGGACATCCTAATGTGCGCAACTATATAATACATATCAAGGATTGGCGAAAATAGCTATACGATGAACTTTGAGAATTACACTCCGAAAGAACATTATTCGCTCGCCAGAGTCGTTACCGCGATTTTCGAGGTGTAAAAAATATGTATACTTTTAATCATTGTAACTCGTAATTTTGATACCTCGCCTTCAAAAAAATGCAAAATATAGTATAGGTATTGGGTGTACACAACGCACCTCTCTGGCATTATACAATACTTGTATACACGCGAACATAATAATTATTATGCTTATACTATTCTTGTGATGACATTACCCAAAGTGAACAACGCTTTTTGTATTATTATTGATGTGAGTGGGGGTTTCACCTGTCATAATTTCACACTTGAAATTGACCCCATCATTATTTCTCCTGGAGTTTATGCGGATATGTCTTTATAATCCCGCATCGTTAATTTTATACATTTGTTTTTTATGCTTTTTGTATCAACATGCGTCTCCATATTTACCTCTGCAATAAAAACATATAAATACGTCATTTTTGTTGCTTCTTCTTACTCACTTCCTGTGTTTTTTTTCTCCCCCAATCTCTTTCTTTTCGTTGTGCCTCTCTGACCATACCATTGAATGGACTATTTCTTATTTCCATCTTTGAGTGTTTTGTCTCTATCATCTCTTTGTTCTTTTGTACGTGCCCTTGTTACATATTTTACATCACAAGTCCCTAACTTTTGTCATGGTGACCGTACAGTCGCTAAAATTTTGTTCGTAAGCCACTATCGATTATGACTTGATATACCTGTCTCTCCATCTTTCACTTTAAATCTCTTTTTTCGTCTTATCCACTGCATGGCTATACCAATACCCCCGTTTAATGGACTCTTTATTAATTTATGCCTCGAAGCACCTCCCAATGGTGATGTTTGTATTTTTGAATTATTTGTATCCGCCTTCAACTCTGTCTGTATATTTCTCCATTGAAATCATTTTTGGGGTACATATAATTATGTTGTGGCTACCACCACCTTTATCAGAACCGCGATTGTAACTCTCCAACTGGATAAGCCACCTGTGTTGGACCATACACAGCTTCACGAATTTATTGTCTTCAATCGGTTACACATCACATACCATGGAATGGGGTTTCAAAGGGTCCATCCACCTGGACACGCATCGCGCATAAATCCCCGAAGCAACAAAAGCGCAGGTGAAGGGTAGATAACAACACGTGCGTGCAGGTACGTGTGTATAGACCTAAAAGTTTCCCGTAACGGCCGTAACCCAAGACGCCCGAAAAGCGATCCCAATAGGTCGTATGGACTTCTTCGCTGACGACGTGTACACTTGATATTTTGAAAACAAAAAAAAAAACTTTACCCATTTGGCAAGCGAGCAAGTAAATCGTTGGAATTTCCGTCATCATGGGTCGTAAACTTCTTCTCCAGAAACGGGTTCAAGGCCTCCCATGGATTTTGTCGTGCTTAAAAAGGAACTTGAAAAAAAGAAAACCAAAAGTCCACAGTACTGACAAGTACAAAAATGTTTCCAAGTATCTACTAGAAAAAAAAAAAAAAAAAAAAAAAAATTCCAAGGGCTTCTATCTATAAGGGTACGAAGAAAGTAATGAAAGAGCACTGATAGCACAGAGGTTTCGCGCAAAGTCGAGTTTAGAAGCAACGCCGTGGAAGAAGCTACTCCGATGCAGAGTCATGGTGTTGCGTTACTTCATGCACACACCTTATTGTCCATTGTACCTACCACCACGCCCACTAATGCAAGTTATGTGCAGTACCTATATATACGTGTCGCACCTTGCGGGCTTCGACTTTTTTTCCGTTTCTCTCGACACACACACACTCTTGCTCCTTGGATTACACGTATTGTACATATAATATCTACTTAGCTTGGCTGGCGCTCCCTCCAAGTATATACTTTATCTCACTCGCACCTCCATCATCCCTCATCAATTGCGACTTTTGGCCCTCATCCCTCCATTTCCCGAGGGGCTGTCGTCGCTACTCCCTCGGCTCTGCTTTTGCTCATTGAGCATCTCTCTCTGGGGACATTCGGCACGATATGTCCCTTCTAGTCTCTCGTGTGCTCTTTTCGGCTCTTTTCTCTTTCGCCCCCCCCCCCTCCCCACCATCCCTCTTTTCTTATCTCTCCAAGTGTAAGTATATATACTCTGGCACTCATAGACCCTGGACAGTTAAGTATGGTGTACTTGTCGCTGATGGTGCCGATGCAGCTGACGCTGTTATTTTTTGGTTTCTCGTTGCGCCTAGCCAAGACTTCAAGTGTATAAGTACGCGAGGGAATCCATACAAATGTTACTCGAGAACATGTTTTTACTTTTTTTTTTTTTTTTTTTTTTTGGGAGGGAAAATGCATTGGGGCATTTCGTCCTGCTTAGACCTTATTCCTGGCCTCTTCTAGAGGTTTTTTTTTTTTTTTTTTTTTTTTTTTTTAACTTTGCTGTTTGCTGATATTGGCTACAGTCTTCTAAGACGCCTTTTTCTCCTCAACTGCTCCTTGGGTTGAGAAACGAGAGTTTTATTATATATACAGTTGGATTCCATGATCAGTGGTGACCACTGATTTTTTAGTGAATTTTCACAGATTCGAGATTCTTACTGATTTATATCTAGTGTCTATTCACTCCCGACTCCCAACGTCACGTACTTTTGGCCATTCATTAGTTCATGCAATTCAAGACAATTGATTCCAGGGGATGTAGTACTCGATTCGAAAAACAGAAATACATTTGGCATAACGCAAACATATAGGTACAAGCACTAGATTTGAAGTTCAACTCATTATTTGGTAAAAGAATGGTTTAAACAAATATATCAATAACAACCAAATTATTGTAGTATAATTGCACGTAAGAATGATACAAATAAATAAAGACTATTTATCGACTTGACGGATCCGATTAGGGCATCATATTCCATTATTTTTATAATCTTTCAACTATTTACTAAATGAAAAACTGTAGCGTGCTGAAACCTTTAGGAAATGAGCATGGAAAAGCCGAGGGGAAAAGCTACGTAATAGTTGAACGCACTTTTTAAATCTTTTTAAGGATTTTATTTTTACGATTGTGATAAGAAAAACCTTCAGCGTGAAACTTGATTTAAAAAAGTGACACTTTCAAAATTTGCGGTGTTTTTAGCAACCGTTGAATATTTATTATGGATGACAACAAGGAACGATTTAACCGTTGCGTTATCGTGCTAAAATACCCCAGGCACGAAATTTCCGTGACTGCTTCACATCACCGGTAGATATAAGTCCTTCAGTTTAACTTATTAAACTGAATTTATTTTAAGCTCGTTACAAGTGTATCGCGTATAATGTATATGGAGTGAAATAACTGTGCTAAATGGTGTGGAGTGCGATATCGGACGATCTGGATCCGATTTTATGTGGGAATTGAATTTTTTCCCTCCTCGATTGTATCGTTACGTGCAGGTTTTACGGGTATTACGTGGACCCGATTGATTTATGCGTTGCGTGTATTTATATCAGTACTTTCCAGCCACGCCAAAATCGATGGTCATAACCAAGGATTCACGCGTATATTGTTTACAAAATTTTGGAAAAATAAAGGAAAAGAGAAGAAAAAAAATGACTCACTTTCCGTTTGGCACTGAAAAATTTTCCTCTCGTTCTCGCGGATGATGCTGCCGTTGTTCGAGGTCTGGATACTGAATCTTGGCTCCTGCTGAGACTCTGCAAGCAAAAAAGAGAAGACGCGTACGTTAGCAAATGCCATGCTGTTTTTTTTATTTATTTTTTTTTTTTTTTTCTTTCTTTCCATCTACTGGACTCGGTTCAGAAAGTATATATATATGTAAGCTTACACATGGGTATATGGTACAAGGGGAGGCGGTTCGCTTGGCTTGTCTTTTTTCCCTCTTTTTCGGAATTCAATCGAAGACTGCGGCCAAAAACGCAGCTCAACGTTTCCTACACGGTGTTTTATTCTCTTTTTTTCTTTTCATCGGTTTTTTCGTTTGCGGAGAAAATTTAATCAAAGTTGTATTAAACTCGTAGTTGGGTGGAAACAATTTTTTTACAGAAAACAAATGAATGGCAAGCAAAATAATCAAAAACTCTTTACTATATTCTAAATATTTAAATATTCCAATGTTAATGTGTAACAACTAATGGAGTTGAGAAATTTTGTTGAAAAAAAAAAAAAAAGAAATTAACCGACAAAAAGATTTTAAAATTGATTCGCACGAACGAAATGGTCACTTGATGACAAAAATGTACGTCGAGCATAATATAGGTATAATATGTTGTTTCATAGATGTTGGCATGAATATCGCATAAAAATATGGTAAAACCACCTCGAATACCTCTTGAGTCTAATTTTCCACATGAAATCCACGCAGAATCCCACAAGGAATCAGCATAATGTGTATTTATAGACTAGGACGTATTTGTATTCGCAATCCAAAAAAAAATATCTCAATAGACCTTTTAAGGATTCTTTTGAAAAATCTCTTCATCATTTGGTCATTAAGAACATTGAATAATCATCGGAAATATTTTTTATTTGTTAACATCCGATCAAATATATAATAAACTTTACCTCTAAAATAACCAACCCAAAGTAATCGGTAGTCCAGAGTTTTAACTAACCATGTTTTCATGTATTAACTTTTATCCTTCACATCGATACAGATTAAAAGCACAATTTGTAATAAACATAGAAAACACATTGGTGTAAAAATCGTATGTGACTCGGTAATTTGTTTCATGACGCGTATAAAATATATGCGCACGGAATACTCGTCAGCTAATACTATATGGTATCTCAACTGTAAGGGTATACCGATAACCCGGATATAGTGCACTGACTACATAATATTATATAGTAGGTATTAAAACCCGCGAATCTTTGTGTTTAACTTTGAGCCAATAAGTACGACATCACTCCCAAGTGCCAATGCTGTAAGTGCAATTCACTCAAGTCTAACATACTTAGAGAGACCAAACATCAGATTCTCGGCTCTATAAGTTGCTACAGTGCCATTATACGCTTGTCCATGGAAGCGAATACGCGTAGGTAGGCAAACTCAATTCGATCGAAAGACAAAGTAAGTATACAGAAGCGGGGCGCAGCGGCAAAATTATTCAGGGGCCCTCCAACCATCGTCATGCTCAAAATGCACGGCACATGGTTTGCGTTACACGTGTCCCGCCCTCGGTGCAGTTGGGCGTTCCATGCGAAGCTACTGCAAGTACCTACACGGTATACTTGAATGGAGGGAAAAAACGAAAGTCGAAAAAAAAAAAAAAAAAAAAAACACGAGGTGGCTTCCTTCGCGTCGCGTCGAGGTATATATATAAGCGGGGGCATCAAAGCGTAGCGGCGTCGGAGTATACAACCGAAGGGCCCCCATACACGATGCGCCGAGGAACCGTGCGACCGCACGCGTGGGTCCGTCGTACGGACAGTTGGACACGCACACGAGGTGCACCCGGCCGATGCCGCATTCTTTAACTCTATACTTACGGTGCTTGCTCCTCATTGTCTACTTCTGTAAAGTACACTTTGTATTGTTGGACATGCGCGCGTGGAAGCAGCGGTTCTTTTTTTTTTGTTCTTGGGCGTGTATACCGATACCAGAGGGACGTGAGGGCTCCTAACAATCAGAACACGAGTTTTGTAATAACGTGCCATTGGCGTTTCGTCGCAGCTGTCAATGGACCTATGGTATATTGCCTATACTGTGCTGCTTATCCAAAAAACAAGTATACGAATCGGACCATTTTGAAGGGGCAAAAACTAGCGAACCAAAATTCCACCGTATACAGAATTTCTCACGCATATTATCTTAGCCTTACAGTACACAGGTGTGTACGTCATTATTGCTCAAGGTATTTCGAGAAGAAAGAATCTTCGACTTAACCGAGCTAATTAGGGAGTAGCACCTTTTTACCGGAAAGGCGGACAACAATATCTCAAACAATATAATGGTAAAATTGTATACAAAACGATTGTGTAATCTTCCATTTGCTCCAAAAAAGGCGTCTTTACACAACTTCTCACGCTAAACCCAATGCCACCATTTGAATAATCACGTAAAAAAAAAAAAAAAAAAAAACAACACGATAATGAAGCTCAATAGTGGAACAATAGAAGAGGACCTACTCGTGTGTTGAGACTCAAATGTTATTTCAGAATTGTCCCTCGGATGAAATTACCGATTTTCAGACCGATTTCTATCCATCATCCATCTCAACGTAACAAGAAACGATAGGACGTAATATGCAAAGGGAAAGAATTGCAACGAGTTCAAGAGAACAGAGCTCGATCAGCTGTATACACATACATATAACACCGTTATGTATACATGTACGCAATATTATTACAAAAATGCCCTCGTCTCGTGCATAAGTATACGCTCTCCTTTTTTTTACTACCTTTCCGTGTCGTCTTTGTTTCCCCGACACGCGAGAAATACTCAACCCTCGTTCCCGCACTCGAAAATTTTCGCACGGATTTACGCCACCTCGTTATTCCTCGCTTGCTTTAAAAACACTCTCTTTAATTTTGCACTCGCGTCTTCTGCGGTTCCCAACCGATTTTTCCTTCCTCCTTACGCCTGACTTCTGGTTGACTTGGGTTGTATTACGAAATTAATGCCATGCTGTAGCGTATTATCATACATATATATATAAGGGAGGAGAAGG